GATGCGGGTGATGCTGGTGATGCTGCGGATGTTGCTGGGCTCAGTTGCCCAAAGGACCCAGAACTAAAAGGTTAACCTTTTGGCACCTCTACTAAAAATGGACCAGACTGGGAAAACCAAAAGGTCAAAAGGTCGGCTTTGAACAACTGAGTGGCCACACGGCGTCCTGCTGCAGCCTTGAAACACTGGAAAAAACACGCGAAAATGCAGGACTTTTACTGCAAAAAACTGAGGAAAACGTTGGTTTTGACATGCGTTTTGCGTGGCAACTGACCCAGGCGTGCTTGCGTGCGCGCATGCGCGCGTGCTTGCGCGCACGCGTGCGTGCTTGCGCTCATGCGTGCGTGCGCGCGCGCGCGTGCGTGCGTGTGCGCGCGCGCGCCGCGTGTGTGCGTGCGTGCGTGCGTGCGTGCTTGCGTGCTTGCCTGCGTGTGCACGCGCGCGCGCCGCGTGTGTGCGTGCGTGCGTGCGTGCGTGCGTTCGTGCGTGCGTGCGTGCGTGGGTGGGTGGGTGGGTCTGTGTGTCTCTGTGTGTGTTTGTCTGTGTGTCTGTGTGTGTGTGGGGGGTGGGTGCGTGGGCGCGTGGGTGCGTGAGCGCGTGCGGGGTGGGTGTGTGTCGTGCCCGCGTGTGTGCTTGTGTGCGCGTGCCTGCGTGCGGGCGGGCGGGCGGGGTGGCGAGATGACGGGAAATGGATAGAAAATAGATGGAAAATATGGAAGATGGATGGAAAACTGAGGGAAAATGTTTGGAGAATGGATGTGTGTGTGTGCGCAAGTCAGGAAATGTGTGTGTGTGTGTGTTTATGTTGTTGTTGTCGCTGCTGCCTGCTTAGCCGTCCGTGCAAGAGCTGTGAAGTTGAGCCTCGCGATGCTGCCGCGGCCGGTTGTGCGCCAGCAACGTAAATCCGGCTACGCCTCCTGGGGTAGCATGTCGCCACTAGGCAATTAGCCTGCTAGCTTTAGCTATAGGGGCTGCACCCTGGAGCCGCCTGGTCGTGATGCGCTGCCTAAATCCGGCACCTCTGCATCACCAGCTCGGGCTTGCGGTTTTGCTTGCCTGTGGGAAACCCTCGCAAAACATCGCGTGTGTGCAGGGTTTGGTTTAGGCCATGTGGCTGACATCGTCAGGGTCTGGGGTTGGGCCTGGGTGATGCTTCAGCGGGGCTTGGTCTGCATCATCAGGACTTCCTTCCAAAAAGCCTCTCAACCCATGAAGCAGTGTTTTTTTAAAAATTTGAAGGTATCGGAGGAATATAAGCGAGGCTCATTTTTGCGCATTATGGCGCCAAGCGCTTCCGGGCATGCCGGCGATGCTGGGCCCTCGCTCTACAAAACGCTGTACATACCGCCAAAAACTGCTGTGCTGAGCGTTGGGCTGTTGTTCTGTCCGTTTTGCTTTTGCTGTGGCTGCCTCGCGTGCTGCGCGGTCCTTGCTTTTTTCGCGTTGGTTTTCGGGCCTTCTGGCGCGCGCGCGCGCGCGACCCCAGCAACAAAACGCTGCTATTTACGGTTTTTTGTTGCATTTGCGTTTCCGGGCTGGGCTGTTCTTTTTGGGCTGCTGTTTCTGGGGCCTCTGGCGCGCGCGCGCGACCCCATGTCAGCCTTCTGGGTTGGGGCCCGGCTGGGGCCCAGAAAGCTGGCATCCCCGGCATCATCTGGGGTTGGGGTGGGCAACACGCATAACCTAACCAGCCATATCATAGCACAGGATACGTTTCTCATACAAAAAACATGACATGACATGGTATAACTTCAAAGAGGCGTAGCCGGCTAGAGGCCGCAGGCCCAGAAAATAATTAGAAAACAAAACCACGACAGCAAAAGCTAAAAACCACGATAAGGGGGCGGCCGAAACTATGACAGGCGCGGGCCAAAGTCACGATAAGAAATAGAATTGTATAGAACCCCATTCTATTCGCGAATAGAACGAGATAGAGTTCCATTCTATTCGCGAACAGAGTCTAGAAGTCCATTCTATTCCCGCACAGAGTCCCAGAAATTCCTGTATAGAGTCCCATTCTATTCCTGTGTAGAGTCCCATTCTATTCCTGCATTTTATTCCTGCATCTGAGTCCCTCTACACAGGAATAGGAATAGGACTGGACTCTATCCCATCCTGTCTAAAGAGTCCAGCTATTCCTGTATAGAGTCAGAGTCCCTCTACACAGGAATAGAATGGGACTCTTTGTTCCCGGACCACAGAATCCCATTCTATTCCTGCGTAGAGTCCAATTCTAGAATGGGACTCTGTGCAATGGACTCTACACAGCAACAGAATGGGACTCTTTGTAAAATCCCATTCTATTCCTGTATAAAGTAGAGTCCCATTCTATCGCGAACAGAATGGGGCAGAGAAAAGGACTCTATGTTTTGTTATTCCTGTCTAAAGAATCCCATTATTTTCCTGTATAGAGCCACAGTCTATGTAGAGTGCCTCTACACAGGAAGAGAATGGGACTCTTTTCTAAAGTCCCAACCGGTTGCTGTGCAAAAAAAAACTATTCCTGTGTAGAGTCCAATCCCAGAATGGGAGTCTTTGTCGTGGACTCTACACAAGAATAGAATGAGACTTTTTGTGAAGTCCCATTCTATTCCTGTATAGAGTCCCATTCTATTGTTGTGTAAAGAGTCCCTGTGTAGAGTCCCATTCTATTCGCGAATAGAATGGGGTTTCTATTCCTGTCCGAAGAGTCGCATACTATTCCTGAAAAGAGCCCCTTTCTATATAGTCCCTCTACACAGGAATGGAATGGGACTCGTGTAAAGTCCCACTCTTCTCCTGTATAGAGTCCCATTTCTATTCCTGTGTAGCTATTCCTGCATTTGAGCCCCTCTAAACAGGAATAGAATTGGACTCTATCATAGTTCTATTCCTCACTATTCCAGTGTAGAGTCCCATTCTTTATAGAGTCCCTCTACACAGGAGTAGATGGGACTCTTTGTTCATGCACTATAGAATCCCACTCCATTCCTGCGTAGGGTCCAATTCTAGAATGGGACTCTTTGTAATGGACTCTACACAGGAAGCGACCCATTCTATTCCTTTGTAGAGTCCCATTCTATTCTTCTAATCCTGTGTAAAGCAGAGCCCCATTCTATCGCGAATAGAATGGGGTAGGAATGGGACTCTATCCCATTCTATTCCTGTCTCGTAGACTCCAATTCTAGAATGGGAATCTTTGTAATGGACTCCACACAGGAATAGAATGGGACTCTTTGCAAAGTCCCATCTTATTCCTGTATAGAGTCCTATTCCTGTTTTGAGTCATTCTAAAACAGGAATAGTATCCCATTCTATTCCTGTCTAAAGAGTCCCATTCTATTCCTGTGTAGAGGGACTCAAAACATATGGAATGCCGATTCTATTCCTGAAAAAAGTCCCCTTCTATTCCTGTGTATAGTCCCATTCCATTCGCGAATAGAATGGGGTAAAGTCCCATTCCATTAGCCCCATCCTATGCCTGTTTTGAGTCCCTCTACACAGGAATAGAATGGGGCTCCACACGGGAATGCAACGGCGCGAGTAGAATGGGACTCTACCCCATTGTATTCGCGAAGAGAATGGGACTCTACCCCATACTATTCGCGAATAGAACGGCACTCAACACCATTCCATTCGCGAATCGAATGGGACTCTGAATAGAATGGGACAGAGTCCCCTTTGCGAATTGAATGGAACTCTAGACGATTCGATTCCTTCTATACGATTCGATTCCTTATGATGACTTTGTCCCCCCTCTTATCGTGGTTTGTGTGCTTCCTGTCGTAGTTTATTCTTTCTTGTCGTAGTTCGGCAGTCCCTTGGCTTTCCCCAGTCCTTTCTTGTAGAACTTCTTCAGGATCCGCTTCATGGACTGCGCAAAACACAAGGAACCACAAGGATCGGGTCCCGGTCCCGGCCGTCCCGACGGCTGGAGCGGAGCATCTGGCCTTCTGCTTCAGCCTGGCGAAAGTCATCTCGCGGAGGAGCTCGTTCTCCGCGGCATTGGGCCGGTAGGACTCGTTGGAATAGTACGGCCTCGGGCAGATTTGACAGGTGATCCGAAATTCACATGTGTGAAACCTGTCATGCGCACCTTTCCTCTCTGGAATAGCGCACGGAAATGGAATGCCGCTCCCAAAGATCTGACCTGACGCGCTGGAGCGGGTACTGTCAATGGGTTCTCAATGCGTTCAAGTCACTTTACATCTGGACCTCTCAGTCAGGGAGAGACCGGCAAAGAAATAGCTAGTCCATATTGTCAGGCAACCCAAGGTCTGACACCCGTGACACAGCCGCCATCTTGTGCGCGCTTTGCCTGTGTAACCACAAACAGGGACCAGCTGCCAGTCACGCCACCTTGTCCACTGGATTTTGAGGATCGCTTTGTCACATGTTTCGGGAACCAGAAGAACAAAGCCAAGGCTGCCACAGCTTTGGCAAGAACGCCTGCATGGAGCGCTGCTGCCATGGTCTTCTCGCCAGCGTCACACAGCCTCGGCTCGAGGCTGATAGCGGGGGAAACATGAGTTTCATGATTCCGTTCGTGGATTGCCCCAAGAAGACTTCAACTCATGGGCCATCCCTTGGCTTAAGTCTACAATGGGCGTCTTGGTCGCGACGTGCTGCCCCACACTGTAAGGCTTCGGCTGACTTGTCCCAATTCCAAGGCGTCCAGGAGCAAGGCATGCGCCACGGTGTCAATCTCAGCCAGGAATTTCGCATCTTCTGGTGGGAGGTCAACCTCAGTCTGCCTCCCGGTCATTCCTTCCTGCACCCACTTTCGGAAGAAGTCCTGCCGACTTCGAACCCTCTGATTCAAGCACTCTGAAACGACTAGTTGAAGGATTGATGAACCTTTGACACTGAGCAACGTAGCATGAGGGACGAAAGTACCACTAGTTGAAAAGGGGCCATGTTTATGGTTGGCAAGCCCCTGTTTACTTTCTGTGCCAAGTCCTTCTGCCACATCCAGCTCGTTGGGAAAAGCGTGTCGTCCCAGTCCACTATGATGAGCACACCTCAGGTTGATCAAAACTCCTTGTGTTGTCATGGCTCCGTAAACGACCCTTGAAAGGTTTGCAAAATTCCACAAAGGGTCCATGAGCAGTGCCACTGGCCCCAAGAGCATGGCACAAATGTGCAGGGCTAGAAGGCTGTAGCTCAAAAACATGTACACAAATGGCACTTTGGAAAAGAAAAGTGAAACTTGCTTATCCCTAGGTCTTTCATTTTGAGCCACACCCAGAAAGGAAAGCACGTCCAATTCATCCAAGCGCGGCACTCTCTGGGTGTCTCCAACGAAAACTCGAGCTTGCAGCGGAGATAACCGACTTGTTTGACCCTTGCTTGACCCAGGACTTGTCTCGCACTGGCTGGACTACGATTGCTGCTTTCTCCTCCTCCACTTCACTTGTGCAGGCCCAAGTCTTCTCACGTCTGTGAACAGGTTCCTCGTCCTCTGCTTGATCGGTGTCAACACAATGTGGGAGGGTGGTTGCAATGGTGGCCCGACGGCGTTCCAGGTTGACTTCGCAGGACAAAAGCGCTGTGATGGCAGCTACGCTGAGGGCCGGCGTACTCAAGCGCCTTTTCTGCCCCGCACTGCCACCCTGCAAATCCTGCAGGATCCGTCTGGCTGCGGATGAGAATTGCTCACGCGCTATGAGCCTCAGCCAATCACATCTGGGGAGCGACCTTTGCTTTGATGAAAACAGCAACTGAGGGCGGAACTCTGCTTGGCTGATCTCGTGCGCTGGCCGGATGTAAGGCAAACCACACCAGCTTGTATCCGCATCCGGCTTGTCCCATTCTGGAGGTGGCTGGGCGATCTCTGAAAGCTTGGTGAGCAGTGCAGGCAGCCTTGCAGGGCGCGGCGACAGCCCGCGTCGGTCCCGTTTGGCAGTTTGGCTGCCAGTGCCCAGCCCACCATCCATGAGGACTTGCTGAGGACTTGAGAGTGAGTGGCTGCATAGCAGCTTGCTGGCATCCAGGATAGCCGTCGGATTCATGTCTGTGAATCTTGCTGAAGAACACTATATAGATTGATGGAATAAAATGTGAACATGCAGCGATTTTGCAGCTCCAAGCACTAACGGATCAACTCCGCGGCAACGGCGGCACTGCCAAAGAATTGATCAGCCCTCCGCGCTTTGCAGCAGGTGAACGCGTCAACTCAGAAGCGGTATGTTGTCCAAATCCTCGGGCAGTGCACTGTAGCAAGCCGGGCCAGGGAAGGGCCCAGGATCTGGTTGTCATCATTGCCAAACCATAGCCACTGTGCCAGGCTTGGAAGAGAAGCAGCCCCACCACCCACTGGTTTGTTTCAAGTTGCCACATGGTTCCGAGCGTTTATCCAGAGGACTCGCACTATGGCTCACCGGCTGGCATCTGTCAAGCACGGCTCAGGAAAACTTCATAAGGCCGCCACCAGAGTCGCTGTGCGGCCTCGAGACGGGGCACCTCTCACCCGGCGCCTTGCCGTCAAATATGTACCCCTCAATGCATAAACTGCCACCCCAGCTGGCCTCAACCTCGAACCCCTGCGGAAACCCGGTCCGGCAAAAGGAAACTTGGCATTGTGGACCTCTTTTTGGACTAGAGTGCAAAGAGAAACCACTAAAAACAACTATCGGTTGTAGGGATCCCCGTTGTTGAAGGCACCTATTAAGCAAATCACCTTCTTAAGGTGACCTGTGATACCTAGCTCGCTTGAGTGTGTCTGCATATGAGGGGACCCTCAAATTAGGCGCAAAAGAAACTGTCTGCCCTTGATCTCCCTCGAACCCCCCCCCTGTATCATCCAAAGCGACACCTTTTTGCGGCCTGGGCTGCAACAAAGGACCCCGCGGAAGCGCCGATCCCGATCTGGCTTTTTGACGCCTGGAAGGCATGCCGAACAACCAAAGGCATCTTGGGCGAGTCTGGTAACGGTACGTTGGGAAGGTGCAGTACCCGGTTGCAACCGGCCCGTTTGGTAGAAAACGGGATCCCCTTTTTGGGGCTGTCATTTCGTGCGGAGTGCGTCACCCCAGTTGGTTTGGTAGAACCAGGCGCTAAACAAATGGGGCTCCTTCGATCCAAAAAGTTTGCCCCGCTCCTGACTGGCTTGACGTCTCCGTCTCAGGGAAGAGCGGGCCCCCTGCGAGGAGCGCTGCTCCGGAATCGGCAGTCAGCCAAGCGAGGGCAACTCCAAAAACAGATCTTTCTCTCTGGAAACTGGAATATTTGGGCAATTCACCTGCTTCACACCCGCGACTCAGGAATCGGTTTAAACCGCCCAAAGCTTGGAGGAAAGCTGAGGGACGAAAAGATTGAGATGAGCCCCGTGTGTGTCCAATAACATTGGGTTTTGGTGAGTTATCTTCAGTTCCTAATGGAATGTTGGTGAGCGTGCCCCATGTGCTCCCCTTTGCTACATTAGACAAGCTCAAATGGATTTAGGGAACCCACCAAAGGGGAGTTTACAAGTTGCATGGATTGACTTCCTGAAGACTCCCTTGTGGGTCATTCTTTTTGACCCCCTTGGTAACCAAAGAAAAACCCACCTTATGGGTCCTCAAGGTCATGCATGGTCTCAGAACTGGGGAACTCACCGAGGATGGCTTGCTTACCCCCTCGCGGTCAATGCTTTTGGTTGAACCTTGCCCTGCAAACAACATACTCCGGTTGGGACAAATTGGACGGACTTCGTCTCCACCCGTTTTGTTTGGTTTTGTTTGTTCTTGTTTCTTGGTTGGTTGATCGGTTGGCTGTTTGGGTGCTCGTTCGGTCGGTCGGTCGGTTGGTTGGTGACATTGGCTGGCTACAAGATGTGCGGATTTGCAGCTGGCGTCATTGCTTGGAGTTGCTTGGGGGCTGTCTTCTGCTTCAAAAAACCAAGCCAGCCCCAAGCCGACTCAACAACACTATAGCAACCCCCCCACTGCAAACCCAGATGCAAGGGTATCACGTGGATTTTCTTTTTATATAGCATGAATCTACGAGAGCCTCCTAGTTCTGACACATTCCCATTTTGCGTGTGTCTGTGTGTGTGTGTGTTTTCTCCGCCTGACTTGACTCGCTTCCGGCATTTGCCCACAACTCGGCTGAGTGTTGACTGGCCAAAACACGTCTTCAAGGTGAGAGAAAATCGAGACCGGCCCCGGCCTGAGGGCGAGCAGTATTCTTCACTGAAGGTCTCGTCTTCGTCCTCTTCGGACTCCTCCTCTTCGTCAATTTGAGTGTCCTCAACCTCCTGCACCTGCTGCTCCTGCAGCTGATTCACACCAGCCATGCGCACTTTGCAGGGATCCCATGGATGACCTTCTGGCTTTAGGAGCTTCCATGTGAGCCGCGACCAACGGACTTTGGGCTCTTGATCGTGTATGCGTTTGAAAGATCGAAGAGGCACCGCGATGCCCATCAAACCAGTGACAAAAATGTTCAGGGCCTCCTCCCGTAGGTCTGTCAGTGCATGGTGGCCCAGGGTCACCGGGACAACACTCTTTTCAACAGAAGGTCACAGGAAAGGTTTGGCAGACTGCCGAGAACAAGATGCACTCCGAACCGGAGGTGGATACATTGCAATAACCCATCCACCAACTGACGCGAAGCGGAGTTCGTCCATCTGTCTGATCTTCACAAGGCACCCTCCCCACTACTGGGAAGGCTTGAGCGAACTTGGAGCAAGCAATGCAGCGGCGACGTTAGCAACGGAGGCGGTGTTGCACGTCTTCATTTGCAGCGCGCTTAACGCGAGTCAAACCTGCACGCGGCTTCCGTCAGGAGCAGGTTGTGTTCATGCAGCGTCGCACGCACGCACGCTAGCGTTACATGAATGTTCGAGCATGTATAATGATATGTTGCTATTCTATATTGTGTTTATTGTATGTATGATCCATTATTGTGCATTGTGTGTGTGTATCGTTATTGTTGCTATAAGTTTCGTTAATACTATTATTGTTATTGTGAGTGTCATTATGGTTGGTGCTATTATTGCGATCATTATATCGTGTATTACTGGCATTGTCATTAACAGTGTCAACATCATGTTTTTGTTATTATTGTCATCAGTACAATTAGTATTCTTACACTTGTATTTTAATCATCATGAAGGGTGCTGAATACATATGCTAGCATCATTCAGATTTGTTCATGTTCCACACTATCGTTTAGTAAACAATATAGTTTTCGACATGTCATCGCAATTGTATGTATATGTAATAACTACATATAAGAGGACTGATATCAATGCAACTGGGGTTGCACATTATGTTTGTTATATCATACATGACATTATGCATGTCAATTAGCATTATACTTGTTTGAACAAGAAGCAACGTCTTTTCCCGATTCGCTCAACCATGCTCATGTTGAATACTTAGAAACCAAGAAAGCCGCACTTATGATGCTGCATTTCGTGGTACAAGGATGGCGTTTAACCCTATGTATCAGAACTGTTCCATCTACTCAGTTTCGTATGGCAAAAACAAGTTTTCGAGGATATGCTGACATAAACGCGGCCTGGCCAAAGTGACAGCCATGGTTCCAAATGGCCCACCAAGGTGACGCCAAGACCGCTGACCAGAAGCCCTCCATCTGGGCGGGACGCTTTCCGTCGTGAGACCGAAGAAGCGCAGCGCTCTTCCGCGAACGCAGCCAGTCGAGGGTGTGATGCATCGTGCTGGCAGCACGCATGGGTTCCACCGTTCCACCTCACATCGCTAAAGTAAAGCAAGATTGGTGAAATAGCCCGTCGCCGTGAGCTTACCAGGCTATGGACCCTTCAGAAGGACGATGCAAGGAGGCTTAAGCAACAGTTGCTTACACATGTATGTGGTTGGCCCAACCCTGTCAATTCAAACTGATCAAGTCGGGATTCCTCCAGCAGGACAGCCAGCTTCTCCAATTCCCGCACCGTGGCTTCCACAGCTTCGGATCTTGGGTCAACCTCCGGCCTGAGATGTCAAAGCGAGACCCTTCAAAGCCTCCCCAAATGCCGATGCAATTTTGGGTGGACAGCAAAGCTTTTGCACAGTGGCCTCCCAAGAACCCAAAACAAACCAGAGCTCAACAAACAGGTCCCGGGAGAACTAAAGAGTTAAATCCTAGGGCTATGAAGTTTGCAGAATCCATTTGAGGATATCTAAGTGGTACAGTACATGGTTCACCTAAGCCCCAGTTTGGGGAATCTCAAGCCCAAGCGAACCAAGCGGTTTCGCGTCTTGCCTCGCCGGCAGGCTTCGCGCTGGCCTTTCCGGAGCCGCTTCAGGCTCTTCCAGAGGCCTAAGGAAGAGCCGAGGGTGTGTCTTTTGTGGTAAATGGGTGCGATTGTTGTTTGTGTGCTTATTGATTTGTAGTTCGTGTTTATTGACTGTTTGCATCCTGGTTTGCGGGCTTGCTTGGTTTTGCATTTGCGTTCGTTCCTTGAGGGGTACTTTTTGGAGTTGGTTTACTGAAACCCAAAGGGAAGCCAACCATTTTGGGCCCGGGGTGCCCCGAATTTGAGACATGTGACATACCCACATTCTTTGGGGGGCTTGTTTTCAAGGCAGACTGGCAACCGACCAATTTGCTGGGGGGGGGGGAGGGGGTTCCCGATTTTGAGACAAACCGCGCGCCCTGCCTACAGTTTCTTTTGGCCCAAGGAATCCCAGGGATCAGAAGTGCCCGACACATGTCACCTGTGGCCCAGGCTTCACCTCTTTGGGGCGCGGAGCTGTGACGCAATCTGCACCTCAGACTGCGCGTCTTGAAACCGCAAAACTCCTGTAGATCCGAGCGCCCAACCTGGCCGTCCTGGCAGAAAAAGAGCTTTTCCGGAGCACTTCCCCTCCCTACCACTTAGATGGAAGGCCCCTTTGGAAGCAACCTGGCGTATCACCTCTGAGGAACCAAAACAAGTTGACCACCCTTGAAAATAGCATCTGGCAGTCGGCAGTTGGCCTCGCACCTTCCTAGCTGGTCTTCCTCTGAACCACTTATTTTCAGGGCTTGAAAAGAAACCATTTCCGCTTGGAAATTGCGCTACATGGGCGCGGTTTTGTTGAGTGCGCCCTGTCTGTTGATTTCAAGCGACCCAAAGGGAAACCACCCATTTTGGGGCTTCCCTATTTTGACGCTTGCGCACATGTTGTCCCAGTTGTACTGTACTTTCAGAATTGCCAACGTCTCGGCGGCATGACTTGTCTGTGTTCGTGTCATTTAGTGACTTATGAATATGTATCAAAGTTGGAACTTGGAACTAAAAAAGGGTCGGTTGCCTTTCGGCTCCCCTTTAAACCAAGGTGAAAAGAGCACCCCTCAACAAAACACACATCCTGACTGAATTCTGTCATGAGACCGGCTGTTCTGCGTTCCCCACATCTCCCGGCCAACGTTGGTGAATGGCTTATTGGTCGTAATTTGCTGTCCGAGGGTCGTTACCAGAAGTGTGGTTTAATCCCCTGAAAGCTTGAAGAAGAACCCCAACCAAGGAGGCCGAATTTCCCCGTTTGCAATTTGTAGCCAGACTGACGTGCGAATTTGGTGAGTAACCCCTGCTCTCTCATGGTGATGTGGCAAGTGCGGCCCATGTCATCCTAAGTGAGTGACAGTGAATACTGATTCTTGCTGACATACTCGGCTGGGCAATCGAATGCTAGCAAGGTCCTTCATGTGCGCCTTTGGCACTCGAAGTGGTTTGCACCTTTGCCATGCCAACAAAACAACACAGAAGCCGACTCTCCAATTTCAGCGGGGCTCAGCCCCTCGCGAGCTTGTTAAGCTTCTGCGCCTTGTCCAGCTCTTCCCCCAAGCCATGCCAAGAGCCCTGGCAAAGTGGGTCTGTCAGAATAGACCCCCTCGCAATGGTTGGGGGGGCGGGGTCCTTTGGCTTCCCTCTGAGATCTTCTGTCCGGGCATATGGCTGTGGGTCAAAAATAGGTACCCCAAACGGAACCCTGCTAAATGGAAAGAAGGACTACAACCTGCGGTCCCCTGCTGGTTTAATTTTGACCCATACCCATATCCAGCCTGAGACTTCTGAGAAGCGCGCTTCGCCTTCCCGACCTTCCATTCAAGGATCCAACGGGTGGCTTGACGGCTGCTTGACACGTGTGGGAATCCGGGAAGGTCCACTGCAAACCAAAAGCCCAAGTGCATCCTAATCTAAACTCTGTATTAACATGGTCTACCCGGAACCATGTAAAGAACTAAGAAGGCGGGCGCAGACATTTACAGTTGGGATTGTCCCTTACTAACCTTCATCTACCCGGGTTTTGATTGTGGCTCAAGTATCGCGCTCACAATATCGTAGCGGTACGTGCGTATATACATATCATAAAGATCATGTGGTTGCGCATACACATATCCGCCGACCCCTTTCTCCAAAGGGGAGGCGCATGGGAAGGGTTTGTCTTTGTCCTTGTCTTAGTGATGATTCTCATCACCGCTGATGTTAGGTGATGGTTCACAGCACCCGGATCATCATTACTGCGGCGCTCTTCTTTTTCATATACGATTCAAGCGTGCCGTCAGACCCGACTGGAAATGCAGAGGATGCGTTGTCATGATTCTGCTGCTGATGCTGGGGTCATGTTCATCATCATCATCATCATCATCATCATCATCATCATTTGCATCATCATGTTCCTCATCATGTTCATCATCAAAACCATGGCGCTCTTCTTTTCTCATATACTTTTCAAGTGTGCCGTTAGACCTCACTGGAAATGCAGAGGTCATGATAACTGCTTCTGATGCTGGGGATGCATAGTGATGATGATATGATGATATGATGATATGATGATATGATGATGATGATGATGATGATGATGATGATGATGATGATGATGATGATGATGATGATGATGATGATGATGATGATGATGATGATGATGATGATGATGATGATGATGATGATGATGATGAAAATGATGATGATATGATGATATGATGATGATGATGATGATGATGATGATGATGATGATGATGATGATGATGATGATGATGATGATGATGATGATGATGATGATGATGATGATGATGATATGATGATGATGATGATGATGATGATGATGATGATGATGAACATGAACATGAACATGAACATGAAAATGATGCTGAACATGAAAATTATGCTGAACATGAAAATGATGATGAAAATGATGATGAACATGATGATGATGATGGATGATGATGATGCTGATGATGATGATGATGAACATGGTGATGATGATGATGATGAACATGATGATGATGATGATGATGAACACCATCATCATGTTCATCATGTTCATCATGTTCATGTTCATCATCATCATCATCATCACCATATCATCATCATTTCATCATCACCATATCATCATCATTTCATCATCATGTTCCTCATCATGTTCATCATCATGTTCATCATCATGTTCATCATCATGTTCATCATCATGTTCATCATCATGTTCATCATCATGTTCATCATCAAAACCGTGGCGCTTCTTTTTCACATACATTTCAAGTGTGCTGTTGAGATGCAGGGGATGCGTAGTCATGATTGTCATAATAACTGCTAGTGATGCCGGGTGTGCATAGTTCATCATCATTATCATCATCACCATCACCATCTGATTGCATCTTTAGGTGTTCCTGACGGCTTACTTCTCGCGAAAACGCAGCGATGGAACAAAGTCCACACTTCGCATCCACAGCAGTGGCTTGCTTGAGATGCAGGGAATGCGTTGTCATAATTATCAGAACAACTGCTGGTGATGCTTAAAAAAAATGCAAAGTAACAATTATCATCATAACTGCTGGCGATAATGCGAATGCATGGTAATAATTATCAGCATCCCTAATGTTGGGTAACAAAAATGCATCATCAAAAACATCATTGTTATCGTGCTGCTCTTCTTTTCCATATATGCTGTAAGTGTGCCGTTAAACCCGACAAGAAATGCGTAGTCATAATTGTCATAACAGCGTCCCCTGTCAGCAAGCAGGGGCTGGCGGCACAGGGCGGCAGCCCTTAAATATATATATATATATATATGCATATACATAGTGTATGTGCAGTACATATGCACAAGCATATCACATGTACATGTGCAATACCATACTACATACATATATAGATATACACATATGGTATACAACTGGATGATGTTAAGACTGCCCATTGAAAGGTTTGGGCATCTCAAGGACCCTTTGGCCCCACACCTCACGCGGGCCCCAGACCATAGGCCCCCCAGCTTTTGCGGGTGGAGGTGCAGCCGTCGCCTGCGAGTCCCACACCCGGATCCGTCCCCTGAACTAAATCCACGCTAGGCACCAGCTGGTTGATGCTGGTAGGTAGTTTATTGTGGTATAGGGTTCACAGTTTGCTGCCAAGCAAGTTGAAGCCGGCAAAGGGAAGCATGAAACCATTTGGATCCCTGGTTAGACATCCACTTGGCCCAAAAGCGCTTGAAAGACTGGCCCGTTGAGCACGCCGGAATGTGCTAAAATCTGAGGGCCCTTGTTGGTACAAGGCCTGTACTCACCCGTTGGGATCCTTTGTGACATAGATGCCAAACTGGAAACAATATGACCTTGGCTTTGCGCAACCAAGGATTATTTCGTCGAAATGATTACAATCCACCAACTGCGGAGTCTTGTTTGTGTGGAGACATGACAATGAGAACAAGAAGAAGAAGACGAAGAAATAGTGTTTCCACAGCTCTGGGCACAAGGGGACAGAGCTGGTTTTGGCCCCTCACTTCGGGTAGAATGGGAATCCCACTTGCCTGTGGCCTTTTGCAGGCCTGGCGACAGCAAGGGTGCTCTCACACGTTGGTGCTTCCTCAACTTGACTCGGTCAAATGGTTTCACCCACTGGTTCCCATTTGAAAAAACAAAAGAGGAAGAAGTAGGGGGCCCCATCACCCGCAAAAGACATGGGAACACCTCCAGTGGGCGTTTGTGAATGCCAAAGCTGACAAATGGCATCCCTCGTTCCCAGCTCAAGGTGCGAACCCCGAGCCTTGGGCGGGGCCGTGCTTCCAGCCGGGGCCGATTTCCTTTTCTGCGCACCTCGAATCTCCGGATTTCTGCTACGTGGCAACTCTGGACGTACAGAAAGGCAAAAAAGGATATCATTACCTTTTAAAAAGCGATAAGCGATTGCCGGCATCTTGTGATTTCATTACCTTTTCATTATTTGTCTACTAGTGTTTTCTATTTTTCGTTTTTGTCTGTTTCATTTTGTCTAAGAGCGATTTCTTATTTTTTCTACAAGTATACTAATACTTTTTCCGCGCCAATTTATTCTGTAGAAAAATGATATAATATTATTACATTTTAATATCATTAATTTAAATTAGTGAATAGGAACAAAGATTGAGAGCAGGTAATTTATAATATATTTTATCCGACTTTTCTTCTTCCAGTTTATTAACTTCTTCATTTAGTGTTTTCACACTTTTAATCAATAATCGTTCTCGTGTATCTTCATCATCAATTTCATTTAATTTATCAAGAGGTGTATTATCAATATCAGTTTTCTTTTTGAAAAACCACATTATATATGATTATTCAGATTTTTCTTTTTTCAATTCCTTAATTTATTTGTTCTAATTTTTCAACTGTATCTATTACTTCCAGTAAAGCTTTATGTAATAATATTGGTACTTTTGTATATTCAATACCTAAATATTCACGACTGCTATGAACTACATTACTAATTTCTTTTGGAACTGCTTTTAATAAATCATCAGCAATATAACCTATATGGATTGTATCCTTATCGTCTCTATCTTTTCTTTTGATTTTTTTAGGTTTGAATTTCTTAATCATACTAATACAATTGCTTTTAAGCAAATCTACATCATATTTTAATCTTGCATCGGAGTTGTCTATTAAACTTCCATTTATACTAACGCTCGTTGCCGTAAGATCTATATTAGTTCCTGTCGCTGGTTCAATTAAATTACATAACATTTTGTTCGTTCCTGCAACTGCTACATTTTCATTAAATGTTGATGTAGCATTATTTGTAAAACTTCCAGTATTTACTGTTGTTCCAAATGTCTTATCAACAGATAATAATGTTGAAAATACTGTTGCATTGTCAATTACTCTGAATGCTGTATTGGTTGTATCAAATTTAACATCAATTGTAGATAAACTAGTTCCATCATAATAAGTTGATATTTCACTTGTTCCCATTAATATATCTGTTCCAGTTGTCATTGAAATATTATCTAAAAATGAAACCGTTGTTAAATCAAATGATTGAATGGTATTAGTTGCTAAATAAGCATTTTGAATTGCTAAATTAGTATCAACAGTTACTAATGTTCCACCATTAGGCGCTATATGATTAGAACAAAGAGCTCCACCGGTTTTAACATAAACATCGTCTGCAAATAAATTACCCATAGCGTCTATTGTGCTTGTATTAAAAGTCCACCCAGTAGAAATATTAACAGCTCCAACTATGTTAGATTGAACGGCAGGGTCTCCACAAATGAACCTAATTGAAGACTTAGCGTCAGTACTTCTCATATCAAAAGATGAAAAAGCACTAACATATCTGTATAATTCACAATTTGTATCAATTGATAATGTACCATTGGTATCAATATTACCATTATCACAATTAACAGCAGCATTCGTATAAATATTACCTAACACATCAACAGGTTTATTAAAAATAGTTTTATTCACTAATCCATCACACATCATATATTGATTAGAAGCATTACTAACATCGCCAACACTAATGGCAACGAAATCATTATGAGACATATATAAACCTTCTATGGCATCTGGTGTATATCTTCGTATTGAACCATTATTATTAAAATTCAAATATGAACCATTGTTAAGACTTATTGCCTTGTCAGTTCCTATAAACTGCACTGCATCAGTAAATCTTGCTTGGCCAGCACAATTTAAAACATAACCATTAACACCAACAGCACCTAAACCAAACCTATCCTTTACCCAGACTCTTCCAACATTAGCATCTCCTATTTGCGTTTCCCACTGTCCACCGCTACTTGACATCCACATTCTGCCATCTCTGTTAATATTAAATTCACGATTGAACATTTGAAATGTCATTTGCAATCCAACATTTGGTGAAGGTGTAGTGCTAAACTTATTACATATTATACTTCCAGTAGTCAACAATATTTAAATTACTGTGTCAAGTTGTATTATCACTAAAATTAATAGCACCTGCTATTGCTTGAGCGTTAGATCTATTTTATCTAACTTTTGTCCTAATGATGTATTCTGTGAATTATTGATAGTAATTATTGAATTAATTGTATTTGTATTTCCTGTTATAAATCCACTTAATCCATCTGATTGTAAAACATAACGAGCATCTGAACCTGCAACATCTAAAATAGATGAACACGAAAATCAACCAGATACTTGTAAATTACTTAATATTGTAGTATTATGGTTTAATCTTATTTTATCATTTTGAAAAGTTGAAGAATTATTAATTTCTACATTTCCAAAACCTCTTTGATTTAAAAACATTGTTGAACCTGCCAAACTTCCATAAACATAACTATCAAAATAATTATACATTTCAAAGAAATTATTATAATTTCTAAATTCTGCTATTTTGAAAGTTGCAGTAGTTGTTATATTATGTATTAATGTATTATTTGATATTGATGTATCTAACTTGTCTGACAACAAATTATTAGTTGTTATTTTATTATAGTAATCTGCTTCATTAAATGAACCTCCATTCTGTAAATATGATATTGCTATAATATGTGAATTTATTGTACTATTTAATCCTGTCAATAAATTAGAATTAGAACTAATATTATTACAATTAGATGTTATAGTAGAATTTGAATTATTTATTAAATGTGTATTTGATGAAATGTTATTACAATTTGTATTAATTAAGTTAGAATTAGGACTAATGTTATTAAAATTAGTTGTCATAGTAGAATTTAAATTATGTATTAAATTTGTACTTGATGAAATATTATTAAAAATTGTATTTGAAGTTATTGTCAGATTACCTATTAAAAATGCATTTGAACTAATATAATTTGATAATACATTAATTTCTGTTTTGTCATGTGTTTCAGTTATATCATAAAAATAGCATCTATTTGTTGTTTGGTGTAAGTGTTTGCTTGGTCTGCTTTACTATCTAATACTGTTTGAATGTCGGATTTACTCGCGTAAAGATCTTCTGTATCATTGACTGCTCCATCTTTTACTTGCCTAATTTTATTTGCTGTAATATCAAAGATATTCATTAGGGTTTTGCTCATAATATTATACTATTAATTAGAAAATTATTAATATCATATTTTTTGATTTAATCATAAAATGTTACAGAATTTGAACGGATTTCAAGTATACATTCGTGCACCATTAGCATATAAATTCTCTCAGCCGTTTTACCATCGCCGCTATATAATGTTGAACCCTCCAATGCTTTCACTTTAACAACCATATTTGAATTAGTTTTAAGGGTCATACCAGTATAATTTGCACTTTCTAATTTCAGCAAATTAAACCCATACATAAAAGCGTGAGACCTTTAATCTTCTGCACTAACATTGGTTTATCAGCACAATGCATAAGATGGGCGTATGCTTCACGAACACCTTGAATTTCTTGACTTGGAATAACTTGATTACCGATTATCAAAGAAGCAGATAAATCGTGCTCTGGGTCATAACGTCCTTTATCACCTGTTACGTGTGCCAGTGGATGATACATAAAATTATATGGTTTCAATAATTCACCGTATCCGCCTACATAACCCTTTTGAGTCGCATTTGAAAAGAAATAAACAGTGTATTTAATTTAGACACATTACGGACAATAGTTGTGAATACTTCAGTTGTTGTTGATGCTGTTTGTTCTTGTAGGGTTTCAGTTTCAAAAGTAATAGGGAGAGAACCCTGTTCTAATATTTTAGCATACTGTGCATATAAGCTATCGTCAAGAGTATAGACATGTCCTTTGAAGGTTTTGTGACTGCCCAAGTGATACTTGTACTTGTAGCAGTAAAAAGTCCTGTTCTATTAACAATTGGTTTTAATACATCAGTTGTTAAATATAATTCAATTGTTATTGGACAATAAGATAAAGGTATCCAGTTTTCACAAGTCTTGAAACATTTTAAATTTAAATCAAAATAGACATTAGCACTTTTACCTTCTTTAATTCCTTTATAATTACCATAGGTTACATTTCTAGTTACCGCTTGGGTAGAAGAGGTTCCAGTAGCATCACAAACTAAAAACCGTCCATCGTGATTAAGAAGAGTATTTCCAAAACCCAATCAATTATTTTTTCTTCTGATGATTTTAATACATCTTTCATTGCACTCGCACGAGAAAGAGAAGTTAAATCGCATACAATGACATCACCCATTAACACACGCACCCTGTCAAAGAAACCGGCTGTATCAATTGGTCGAAGTTCGTGACTTGTTGCTGTATCAGTGTTGTTTAGAGTAAATCCTAATAATAGTGAAGGAAGCGAAAGCCATTGGTTTGGCGGTCCAGTAATGTTAAATCTAATTACTGAATTTGTATCAGCAGTGTATGTAGACACCGACGATGGATAAAAGTGTTTACTTTCTTTTGAACGGACATAAGAACCACCGTCTTTTAATTTAAATCTTAAATTCTTCTCTACAAGGACATCATCTATGTCCAGAGTGTCCATCTTTATATATTTAATAATAGAAAAATATTATATTTTTATATTATTAAATTAATTTATTTTAAAGTGTGAATAATCTATAACTTCTTTTTTAGATTTTTTTATTTAATGTTTTTAAGATTTATTTTTCATATTCTGTTCTAAATGTGTATTTTCACTTCCTTCTTCTACAATCTTTTTAATGTCATCATAACTGACTTTCTTTTTAGGATTTATAGTGTTTTTATATCATTATTAGGCATTATATATTATCTGATATTATTTAATGCTTGTTGATGTTTTCTAGTTTTGAAGTGTATGGACTGCATAGCTCTACTATATGAATGACCGCAAGTTTCACATACTATGATTTCTTGTTTATTCTTCTC